CAGACTAAATATATAATTACTGGAAAAAATTCTGGTCTCCTCCAGACTGCTAGACAGGGCTGACTTTTTCAACCAGCACAGCTGTGACTCATTCAAACATATCTAAAAAAACTGGACCTCCTGAATCTCAAGTTCTCTTTCAAAATTCAGTTATTTAATAATGAATTTTATTTAAATTGTCCTATATTCAAAATTTTTTCTAAGAGAAAGTTGGACAAAAATTGTTCCAGAATGTTTCAAGGAAACAGTTTATAATACATATTCAATGCTTCTTGATTTAAAAAAATGCTTTAGAAAAATTTTCCTTTCAGTTCATATGAAGGAAGGAGGCTATATTATGTACACTTCCCAATGCTCTAGAAATGGGGGGGGGGAATCGATTTGTCACGTTAAAAATTATACCATCCAAGAAGCTATACGTGTTTCATTGAGTAAAGTACAGCTATGTCCAGAATTATTAGACACCTTGAACATAATTTTATTATGTGACAATAAAGACCTTTTTCTGTATTAATTAATCTAGCACTTATGTTTCTAATTGAATAATTTGGTGACCTCCCAGAATGAAATGGAAAAAGACCAAAGTTGATATAATGCAATCTATTCAAAGTTGTTCAGTAGACTGAGAATTTTCTCAAATACTTATGGATCTTAATACCACAAGATATTAAAACAAAATAAAACAGTGTCATTGAATCTTAAATCTTACCTACAGATAAAACAGATTAATTTGAGCAGATGGAAAGCTTTCATTATGGGGGGGGGGCATATTGAAAATCAGCATTTTCTCTAAGATAATACATGCAATATGTAGAGCAGCCCACAATTCCATCACTGCCCAGAATCAGGTTTAGTATCATCTGAACGCATTCTAACGCATTTAGTATCAAAAAAAGCATTCCTAGATAGCTGAAAGAAAAGTTCCCTCTGTCATTCCACTACCTGAAAGAAAACTAACATATTTATTTCACTCTGGGAAGAAACTGACCACAGCCTGGGCAATTGGACTATTGGAACGTGCTGTACGTGGGGCTGCCTTTGAAGAACTTTTGGAAGCTTCACCTGGTGCAGAATGCGGTGGCACAGGCAGTTAATGGCACCAGTTATTATGTTACATGTGACACCACTATTCTGTGAGCCTCGTTGGCTTCCATTGTGCTTCCAGGAGCAATTCAAGGTGCTGGTACTTACCCTTATTGTCTTGGGACTGGGTTTCTTATGTGACCATTTCTCCCAAATTGTTTCTACCTGTCCCACCTGGTCTGGCAGGAGGGGCATGCTCCAGGTGCTATCAGCTAACCAATGTCGACTGGCAGGGCCCAAGAGGAGGGCCTTTTCTGCCGTAGCATCTGCCCTGTAGAACATCATTCCATCTGAGATTAGGTTAGCCTGACCCTTCTGGCCTTTCACAAGGCCATAAAAACTTGGTTTTGTGCCTGGGCCTGGGGCCCCAGAAGTGTGACAGAGCCTGTCTCTTGATTTTGTTGATGGTTATTTTATGATGATTGGCTGCTATGTGTTTTTATATTTCATATTATGTATTTTATTTGTTTTTATCTATTTTATTGTAAGCTGACAAGAGTCACATTTGTGAGATGGCAGCTATATAAATCAAATAAATAAATAAATACTAGAAAGACAGGCAGCATATTGACACATGTATTTTATTGTTTATGAGTTATTTATTTAACTCAACTCTTTTATTGGCAATTTCGATGGAGTATGGGAATGCATGTTTAATTGGTTTTGTTGTTTTAGTGATTGTAAATTGGTTGGTTTTAATTAGTTTTGATTTTATAATATTTGTAGTCTTATTGTATAGATTTGTATTTACTGGTTTTCTTTAACATTCTGATGTTTTAATTGTTTTGAATTGTTTATTTGTTAAGATTGACATATTAACGATTTGAGGCCAAAATACCCTAAGGTGGACTACTTCTTATATTGATTAGCAATAGCTGACAAAAGCATTTCACATAACAACAGTGGTGGAGAGCCATCTGATTTTAATTATCATAGTCCTTGACCAAGATCTGAAGTTATTCTAAAAACCTAAAATAGATGCTATCAAAGAGTGTAGTAAAGATCCTGAACCTTAGCACTTTGCAGAGATATCCAGTGATCACTGATGTTGCTAAATGTCTCGACAAATTTACTTAAATAACTTGAACTCCAAAAATAGAGTTGTAACCAGATTAATCTGGAATATGACTAGCAGTTCCATATCCTGGCATTGAACCAAATCAATTTAACACCCTCCATTCAAGTATATTGCAATACAGCTTGTACATTGTGCAATCATATCTGTATCTCTGTATTTCAGGCCCATTAGGTCACATCTGTAAAATTGCAGCTCTCAGTTTGGCAATGGGGGTCAGTTTTCCCAATCTGAAGATACTGTTTTTATATATCTGTAGATATATAATTGTACATGCATCCTTATTCATCACAGGACAATCAACAGTTCTAACCACCTTGGCCAGCTGTTTGAAAAGATCAGGATATGGTACCCCTCTAGGGCAAAGATCTAAACCTGTTGCAGAAGCTCTTTAAAGAAATGCATGTATTTACTTTGAAGTAAAATCAAATAAGGATGTTATATGGTGAAGGCAGGTCAATGGCAGGTTTTATATTTCATGGTTCCAACCCCCCTGAGTTCCCTAGATGGACTCTGAACTAGTCTCTCAGATGACAACATTGTAGTTATAGCATTTACACACACACACACACACACACACACAACCCACCCTCCCCATCTCCCGTTTCATGGGAGAATGATTTAGAGGCTCCACCATAAAGAAAAGTTCTTGGAGATCTCCCATCTTCCCTTCTGGCTGGTGTGGACATGTTGAGTTTTGAAAGTAAGCAGTCTGGAACTTTATTCCCATTCCATCCCATTTCAATTTCTGTCAAACAATAAGTTAACTGTATTCTGCACCATGCTCATTATATGAAACCATAATTTTGGATGTCATAGCCAAATTTTAAATTTTAAAAGATTCCTTTATTATTAGCTTCCCTATTGCAGAATTAAGCCTAGTATTTACTGTAAAATAGATAATTCATCTCTTTCCTCTCTCTGTTCTTTCTGCATATTTGCAACCAAATGGGACTTACTATGATTTTGTTGAATAAGAATCTGTTTGGATGTTGGGGTCTGAATGAAACAAGTTTACTTATGCAACTTGGAAAAGATAAGAAAACAAAAGTAGTGTGTTTGTATTTGCATAGTTGATTGAAGCATTCAAGAATCAGTAACAGCCCAACTGTCCCTGGAATATCTGCACAAATATCCTGTTATTCGTTTTGAGCAAAGTCATAATAAGCCTCTTATGTATTATTCATAGATTATGTGTTGCTGTTAATTATATAAACCTAACTGAAAATTGATGGTACTGCTTTCTGCCATTCTGAGGCAGAAAACACATAGAAACTTTTGTGTAGTCACAACTGAAGGTACAATAAGAATGAATCGCAAAACTTCTAGAAACTCCAAGCCCCACCATGTATATAACATTGTCTAGCCCACCCACAAATATTATGAGATTCCTAGCCACCAAAATATTGTTCTCCTGTAATATGTCACATTATTATGTTTCATTGGAATTTATTAAATATTGAAAAACATACCAAGTTTAAGAAATGATCCAGTGTTGTCCCAAAATAACATAAATAGAAGAAACCAACAAATACTGTAGCAAAAAAAAAACAACCTTACATGATAGAAACCAGTATTTACGAATGGATCCCAAGTCATTTTCTTACTTAACTCTGTATCAGGGGAATCATTTTTCATGTCAAGGTGAAACTACTCTCTAGATAGACCAGTTAAAAAATGTGCACTATTTTTAGTGTATACATGATCTTAAAACAAGTATGTCAGTACTTTTGTCTAAAAATATTTTCCTTTGAAGAGCTAAATATATATAGATTGTATGATTTGGGATTTTGTTAAAGCCCATTGACAGCATTGCAATTTGAGCATAGGAAACATGAGAAAATTCTCTTTATTATACATTATCCTAATGTGTCACAAAGAATGTATAGTTTTCAGGACCCTTTGGCTTTTTGATTAAGCTATTGAATTAAATGATTTCTTTCAATGGATAATGTGTTGCTTTTACTTAAAAACTTTTCAGTCTCATTTGCAGCTTGATACTGTCCACATAGCGCTTCCATCTGTATCCTCTTCAAAGGGTCATCCAATTCTTTCTCACTGTGAAGAACTATTTGGAGAAAACTCTGTACATCAGCCTTATAGAAGATAGGAGAAGCCCTTTATGTATTTATTTATTTTTCCCATTATGATGCATTTTGTGTACTCTGGATTATGCAGTACAATCATTATATCTAATAAGGGCCAGATTACATATTACGGTAATTTCATGGAAGCCAATAATCGTGATCTGCACATGCAGCAGAAGTGTTGGGGGAAAATCTCCATGTAGAAAAATGGAACAATGTCCTAGTGCTGCTGCTATTATTATTTATTGGCAGATATATTTTTACATAGAATATTTGAAAAGGTATCCCCACTTGCATACTTGAGTGAAGTTGTCTGCTTTACCACCTCTGTGGATTGTGTAGATTTGGCCTCAGGATCTGTTTTTCATGGCAGTTGTTACTAGAACTAAACCATTCAGGTCTGATGATTTTCATGAAACCAAAAACTATGTGTACAGTGACTTAATAGTAAGCACAATTCAATCTGGCCCAACTTTGCACCTATAAGTTCTAGAACTCTCAGCAAGTGTGGCCAGGGCTTTCTCAATTGCTGGAGGGTACCAGGTGTATTCATTCATGTGAAATGACGGAAAATTCTGAAGCCGAATACAATTTTCTTTTCCCTTGACTCATTATCCTCAGCATTTGGAACATAGCTAGGAGTGAATGAGATTTACTCTTAACTGAATCCATTGTATTTTCTCTTTCTCCTTGTTCCATCTGCGAGGCCATCTGCCACTCAGTGACCCTGGATTTTGTTTCTTATCTGTTTGCAGGTCCACACATTCCGAGGTCCACACTGGTGTGAATACTGTGCCAATTTCATGTGGGGACTCATTGCTCAGGGAGTAAGATGTTCAGGTAATCATAAATACTGTGTTGTCCCAATCATTTTTACTAAAAAATAGAAATGTAAATCTCTTTCAAAGGATCATAAAGAGTGCTGAAAGCCAACATTATCAGCTAGCATTATCCTCATATAGAATGTTTATGTGCAGTTTAAAAAAATTATAATATAGTTGCAAATCCAGAGTGAATATGGCTATAATGATAGCTAATACAAAGCAGACATCTCCATTTCATGCAATCAGCTATCCAATTGGGTTCCTCCCTCTCTCCCTCCCTACCTCCCTCTCTCTCTCTCTCTCTCTCTTTTTCTTTTTATGAAACTGAAGAATTTTGATGGTAAAGATAGCATTTTCATTTGTTATAGTTTGCTTAAAATACATCAGGAATTTGCTTAAAATATATCAAGGATTATTTATCCTGAGATTTCTGAAATACAGAAGTTGTTGTACGTTGCCCAGAGTCACTTTTTGTGAGATGGGCAGCTGTATAAATTTGGTAAATACATACATAAATACGTACATACATACATACATACAAACAAACTTGGCTTCTACTTCCTAAATGCTGGCATATTGTTTGTGATACTTTTCACATTGGTATTAGTTGCTGGCACTGAAATAACTACACATATCCAGAAGCTATCAACAGTAGTTTTATTCTCATGTCTTGAACTTTTAACAGAGGTCTGATATGAAAAAATAAAAAGATAAAGTTTTATATGCCATGTAGCTAAATGAGATCATCTGCTGAATGATGCGTATTAAGTAGATGTTAATGGGTCAGATTCAGTTCCCAAAGTAAAACATTTAAGAGTATAGCTAGCAAAAGACAAAATAGTAAAATCATTTTCCTCACCAAAGATAAAGGTCACGCCTCTCTCAAACTGAGTTAAAGTCCTAGTGACCTTGTGTGTGTGTGGGTATCCATACTGTTTCCTTGGCAAGAATTCAGAAGTGGTTTGCCATTTCCTTATCCCAGGTGCTTTTTGACTTCCTAGTCTAGTTTATAGGCTTTATAGGATTTTTTGTGGTGTCCCATTCAAGCATGAACTAGGGCCAAAACTACTTAGCTTTTTTGAGATCAGACAAGGTAATAGAAGTGCTGCCACTTCCTGTAACATTCTCACTAAAACAAGATGGCTAGTACTCAGATTTGGCCCTGACCCTAACCCTATTGAAAGATCTCGCCTTTTTTCACACCTTGACATTTAGAGAAGAGGAGAGTGGAAGAAAGGGGAATCTCCCTTCTTCCTTGCTACTGGAAAAGCTCCATAATTGTTTTTAATAAATAAAAAAAGTGGAGAATCACAATCATGCTATAAACATAATGTCTGGTTTTATATTTTTTGCCTCCAGACCAGGTCAGTTCCCATTGCTGACACTACTGCCTTTCTTTGTTATTCTTAGCTGTAAAAGCCATTTTTAGCTCAGATGTGCACTGTTTGTGATTCTGCAGGCCTCCATGGTAGCCCAAAAAGAGGTTTTTTTTAAAAAAAAAAATCTGCTTTCGCAGCTGCCTTGTAAATCCAGTGACAGCTGAAAATTAAGAGCCCTTCTAGACTGAGGATCTTCTCTTTCATGAGGAATGCAACAAACCCAGGCTGAACTTCAATCCCCAAGTCTAGTGCCCTATTTACTGACAGCACATCTGTCTTGTCTAAATTTAATTTCAACTAGTCACTTTAAAAACATCACATTGCTTCCATAGTGTATTTTTATATGTGTCCACTAATTTTATAGAAAGAGTGATATTACTTCATTGAATTAAACCCTGAATTAAATGCTGATATTTTATGCATCCTGCTATGATTAATTTCTTCTCAAATTCTCAGAATTATCCCATGTTTCAAAGTTCCATCATTGTCCATTCTATCCTTTATTTCTACACAGATACTTTGGATAATTTCTTATCAAAGTGGAAGTTGAAGTCCATACATCTTAAAGTTGCCAATGTTGAGAAACACTGATCTAATGCCTTCTTTTTATATTTGCAGTACCAAAGAAATATCTTTCCATTTTCCCATCCCTTTTACACATAATTGTTGAACTGATAAGTCTTTTAAGATCTTGATTACTTTGTGTTATTGTGCTTTCATTCTGCTTTCCAAAATTTGGAACTTTAAAATTCTAATTAATTTTAACTGTTTTATATTATTTTGGTGTAAATTGACATGAAAACTTTTGTTGAATAAAAGCAGCAATTAATACAGTCCATCTAGTTTTCAGATAATGTTGCCTAACATTTTTCCAACATTGCGCACATGGTGGCCATATATGTCTCAGCCCTATTTATCTAACTATGGGATTTATTCAGGAACACAAAGCAGTATACCACCTGTTCTTTATTTTGGTAACAGAGAGATCTGATATCCTTGCTTTTGTGTAAGAACCAGCCTTCACAATAGTTTACCTTCTGTTCTAAGCATGCTTTTTGTTTCATTAATGTATAGGATATGTTACAAAATAATTTTTGAGATGCAAACATGTGTAATGTATGTCAGTTTATATCCATGTTTCACTCTTGTCAACTATTTAATTTATTTATTTATTGAATTTATATAGCCACCCATCTCGATCTTGTAACTCTATGTGGTTCACAATACCCCCCCCCAAAAAAAATCACTAACCTTAATACTTTTCCCACAGACTGTGGATTAAATGTACACAAACAATGTTCAAAGTATGTTCCCAATGACTGCCAACCAGACCTTAAGAGGATCAAACGGGTCTATTGCTGTGATCTCACTACACTAGTGAAGGCCCACAATGCACAGAGACCCATGGTGGTGGACATATGCATACGTGAAATTGAAGCAAGAGGTATAGTTTTTTACATTTTGATTAAGCAGAATTCTAATCTGTAAATTACTGAAATTCTGATATCCCATATTTTGATAACCATTATCAGATGCAGTTGTTAAGTATTTCAAAAATGGGGTAAAATAAATACACCAAGGTTAGTTGTATTTTGTTTTCCTTTTAAAAAACGTTTATACGTGAAAAATTGAGAACACGTATTTTAAACCAGAGTAAGTTGAAGTTAGATCCAAGTTTAAAGATAGATCTCTGGGTGATTTGCAATAGGTCTGAAAGTGTTCCTACCTTATAATGCTCTAACAGTAATAATAAGTAAAAGCTTTCTTACTCTGTCCTCCCCATTTTAGATCTGAAAAAGAATGCTTAAGGAAAAACTAGGAGTGAATTTTAATGTAAAAGAATTTCTGAATTTTATTTTGGCATTGATCAAAAATTCCAAATTGGTGAGCATTTGCTAAGAAGCATCCTTTTTTTCTTAGTTCTTACAGCAGACTTCGCTGATCTGATGCTCTCCAGATGTGTTGAGATTGCAGCACCCAGAATTTTAGTTGGCATTTTGATTGGGAATTCCAAGGGTTGCAGCCACAGCGCATCTGGAGGGAACCAGGTTGGGAAAGGCTGCTTTAGATTATGTCTATTGACTTGAATCAGGCTTGTGTAACTGATTCTAGTTGGGAGACATCCCAGCTTTAATTAGATGCACAGATTTTGAAAAGCTTGAAAACTTCTCATCCCTATCTTAAAAAACAAATTCTTTCACTTTTTGCCATTTTCCCACTTATTAATGTAGATTATTTAATTATTTAAATAATGTACATTTAAAAATTTTCTTTGCAATGACTCATTTTGAAAACTTCTATTAAATTTAAAATTATTGGAAGATCATTGAAAATCAAAAGAATTGAGTAAATTAATGTTAAGGCTATCATTAACACTGTTTAGAGTATAATAAAAGAAAAATATATAATTCACTTTAAAATGTATTTTCTTATAAACCAAACCAAGAACTGTAGGTCTCTGGTTCTGACAGAAAGCTGATTCATTACAAATATGTTAATGATTCCTGAAATCCTTGGCTGTGCAGCTAGGATTGTGGTTTTTATTTTTATTTAACTTCAAAGTGAGCATGGGAAGCTGTTCTAGATTGGGATAGCATTGCATAGGGATGATTAATTTTTCTCTGCCCTGCAGTAATTCCTCAGAACACTTTAGCAATTTTCCCTCTAAAGTGGGCACTATATGAGACTCCCCTTGAGGATGACACAGAGGCTGTATCTCAGGCAAAATATGGCAGCTAGGTTTCTGTCAAAAGCCACTTGGAAACCACTCTTCTTATAACTGTTGCTTTTACTGACTGCCAATGTGTTTCTGGTCCAGGTTCAGTATGATAGTGAAAATCTCAGAAGAATCCTAGTAACTCTGCTCCCCCCACTGACCTCTTACACTTGTGGCCCTCAGAGAGATTTCAGGGCTTGAAGGATTCTCTGAAGGAAGGATGAATAGAAAACTTTCAATTCATGAATGTAACTGTTTTTAGAATCAAGCCATCAGTTTCGAAGGACCACCCTTATTAAGTTTAAAATTGAGTTCCAATTGCCATCATGTGAGAAGGCCTACAGCAAAGTGGCTGTACTCATATTTTACATGCTACAATTCTTCACTTATCTCTAGTATGTCCATTAGAAAGAACAGCAGAGCTTAGAAGACCTCTGCTTAGTGCAATTTCTAGGCAAAGAAGGCAACACTAGTCAACAAAAGACTATGTCTAACTCAGCAGAAGATAATTCTGTATGTTTATTAAATAAAACAAAATGTTTTTAAATTAAATGAAAGCCACACTCTCCACTTGAAATGAGAGCTCTGTCAAAAGATAGTTGCGAGGTCACTTGAGAAAATAAAGAAAATAAAAGTACATAGAATGAAAATGTATCTGTAGAGTAGACAGTAATTGATAGAATTTTGGTTTGCAGGTTTGAAGTCAGAAGGCATTTACAGAGTCTCAGGGTTCACTGAACACATTGAAGATGTCAAAATGGCCTTTGATCGAGGTAACAATATATTTTAGTTTTGGAAAAATGATATATACTCTCTCATAGGTTTGATCTTGTCATGAAAAATGTAAATTTTTCCTTCTCTCAAAGGTTGTATATTTTCATGATATTTTATTACCTATTTATATTTACCATGTGTATCAAAATACATTATATTTGGAGGGTACATAGTATCCCAAAATACACAGCAGAGCTTGTGGGTACAATAATGGAATAATAATATTATTGTAAAGGGAGTTTCTTTTCTTCATCATGAAGCTTTCTGTAGTTGCATCATGAATTATCAGAGGAAACTAAATTGTATTTTTACAGTACAGTAGTAGATATTCCTCTGGGATCCTCATTTGTGCTTACAGCCTTGCTCATATGGTGCTTTGCTGTAGACAAGAATGAATCTTTTACATAGCATTCTACCAGACTTGAATTCCTTCTTCCTGGAAGTGCAGTATCATGTGCTATTTCTGCACTTTCTGTAAAACGAGGATAAATTATAAGAACAGATTATGTTCAGATTAAAAAAATCAAGCCTTTGATTTAGTGCTTTTAATTCGTCTAACGTCTTAGTAAGAATGCAGGAATAATTGTTTATTCTTCCACTGAATGAAAATGGATGTTATACAGCAACAGTTGCTCGCTGTGCTGTAATTGTTGTTCAGTTCTGTTCCTGCCAGCATATAAAACTCTCATTGTGCAGCTCGTTCATAGTGTTCTCATTGTGGTCACTAATTTCTGAGGTTTTGTTTGTTTGTCCTGCTTGGCATTACACATTTCATATTCAATGTTGTCCTGTTACTAAGGGAGAATTGCACAATTATATTTCCTACCTGTTCGATTTTATGGACGTCTCTATTCATCTTTGTATTGTGAATACTTCAGCAACACAATTTATCCCAGAGATAACAGTGAGTAGAAATCACCTGATTTCTACCATGCATGACAACCCCTTTTTTGTTGACTTATAATGGCATAGTGCAATGATTTATAACAAGTGGTACTAGTACCACAGATAGGACTTACAAGCAGTCTGAGTAATTCATTGAAAATTTAAGCTTTTGAAATATTGTACATGATAAATATAATAATAAAACACATATTCATGATTAATGTCTTTCTTCAAAAAAGTGGCCTTTTGGCTTCTATAATGTTGAAACCTACATTCTTTTAAAAAGTGATTCATGGGACTTAAAATAGAAAAATGGAGAATCAATGGCATAGTTAACATTGGAGATTAGCTTTATACATGCGGTTGTTCATTATATAGAATAGCATCCACTTAGGTTTAAGATGAATGCAACCAGTTGGGCAAGCATTACAATTTATACAGTATGAATTGAATTTGTACACTGTACACACATTCGGAAATGTGTGTACATTGCATTCATTCCTTGTTTCCTAGCTTACACTTTAGTATTCTCCCCCAACACGTTTTTACTCTGTTCTTGATTAAAAATAAAAAATCCATTTATAACAAAAGCTGGATTTTCCACTCATAACAAGAGGAAAATACTACAGAAACGTAGTCTGCAAGTTGCTGTGACTAATTTTTGAGCTGTCCCCATTACTGAATCCTGATCAGTGAGTTTAAAAGCTGCAGCTTTCACTAACATTTAATTTAATAATTTTAAATGTATTTGTAATTTAATTTAATATGTATTTAATATTAATTTATAATAATTTATATAAATATATATAAATATATATAATTGTATAATACATAATTTATAATAATTTAATATTAATAAAATTTATTGAATTTTAATACATTAAAATTTAATAACTAAATAAAACATTGTTTTTCAGAAATTACACTACTATTTTCTACGTCCAGTTGATTCTCTTAATATTATAGATATATAAACATAACCCCAATTTTCCGAGTAAGCAATTATTTTGGCATAGCTAAATAGTTATACATGTCATAATTCACAAAGGAAAACTGAAGCTGATGTGTTTTGGACATAGAGGTGTCATTTACTTTGGAGTTGTTTTCTAATTAAAAAAAAAAAGAATAGAATTCAGAGATGTTATGGATTCTCATGACAAACACAGCAAGTTTCAACAATATTTCTCATCAGACTTAATTTATTTAATTGCTGTAATGGAGGATGGACATTCCTGCTTTTTAAGCTTTCTTCTTTTATCTCTTTTGCTTGAAGCAAGTTGCTGGGAGAGTAATATGCATCAACTTCATTTAAAGCTCTTCTGCAATATGATTTGCTATTACGACCTATCAAAGTCACTTCTATTTAGTAAGTTAGTGATTTTGATATGCAGTGAGGGCTTGGATAATAGACATCATTCTTGTTTACCATCTCTTCAATAATGTAGATGCAGCTGCAGTTTTTTTTTTAAAGTATTTGTTTCACTATAGCACTTTAATACTCATTGTACTACAGAGCAATAGAACTGTCCAACCTTTTATAATACTAATTCCACTATACCACAAACATGCGATAAATAGGAGGCTAGTGTAGCAAAATAAACATTGTGATGGTAAAAGTGGTAGCGAATAGGATGCTAATGTGTAAATTCACTTTGCTATATCAGATAATAGGCTGCTTGTTTTAAAGACTTGCTTCCCCATTCCAACACAACTGAATTGGAAATAACAGGACTTAATTCAACCCAGTTTTGTTCCAAATGAGTCTGCTGATATGATGAGCTTATAGTTTGTCCTTCCCTGATAAACATTCTTTCGGTTTGGAAAGAAATGTGGATATATCCCTTGGAGTTTAGTGCCATGGGTTAATCCACAAAATCAGTAAAACCAACAAAAAGACAAAGAACCCTTATTTGACTGAGCAAAGAGGGAAACATACAGAAGGAATGATATTTTCTGCAAATTTAATTTTTATTTTCAAGAGGCTAGCTTGAAAACTGTTCCAACACTTCAACTTTAGAACATCACAGTACTAGTTAGTGCTAGCCAGCTAAAATGTGAATTGTTTGAGTTTAGAAACAGAGTTTAGCTCTGTTTATCTGCAGAGCTATAATAAAGTGTTGGTTACCACTTTTAAAGCTCTAATTAGTTTTAAACCAGAGTACTGAAAGGATAATTTCCTCCCCATGTGGCCTTATCTGTCCACTGAAATTGACTTAGGAAAGTCCAATTTGCACCATCCTATTTCCATCAGAATTATGGAAATCTGGCTAGAGGCTGAATATTCTTTTCTCATCTATTTTTAATTTTTGTTGTTTTTAACATTTTGTTCAGTTCATTATAATCTGGATGTTAACCACCTTGGGCATTTTTTCTAAAACAGACTGGTGAAATCAGGAGGAACAGATTCTCTGATTTTCTGTTGTACGCATAATAGAATAATATTATGCACTGTGTAAGCAACACCACTGGGCCAGAGTGCTATGATCTATATGGGGGTTGTGTAAAAACACAATTTCCTGCAATTGCACCAACATACCAACAATAATATTGCGTATATTTTAGGGAACCAAGGAAGGAAAAAACAGACAACCAAGATATGGATGCAGGTTTAATGATAGTCTAAAGCATTTCAGATTCAGTTTTGTAATTCCCCGTACTGTCTCAAAAAGCAGTACTTTTATTTTCCAATAATTTTACACCAGGGATATGGTGTGTGGGCTATGTGTGTGTATGTATGTATGTATGTATGTATGTATGTATGT